ATTCATAATTTTACGAGATTATTCATAATATTAAGAGATTAAAGTTGTAATATTACGAGATTAAAGTTGTAATATTATGAGATTAAAGTCATAATATTAAGAGATTAAAGTTGTAATATTACGAGATTAAAGTTGTAATATTACGAGATTAAAGTCATAATATTAAGAGATTAAAGTTGTAATATTACGAGATTAAAGTTGTAATATTACGAGATTAAAGTCGTAATATTACAAGATTAAAGTCATAATTTTACAAGAATAAAGTCGTAATATTATGAGAATAAAGTCGTAGTATTACGAGATTAAAGTCGCAATATTACAAGAAAAGTCATAATATTACGAGATTAAAGTCGTAATGTTACAAGAATAAAGTCATAATATTACGAGAATAAAGTCATAATATTACGAGTTTAAAGTCGTAATGTTACAAGAATAAAGTCATAATATTACAAGATTAAAGTCGTAATGTTACAAGAATAAAGTCATAATATTACAAGATTAAAGTCGTAATGTTACAAGAATAAAGTCATAATATTACGAGATTAAAGTCGTAATGTTACAAGAATAAAGTCGTAATATTATGAGATTAAAGTCGCAATATTACAAGAAAAGTCATGATCATGACGTGTCTATTTCCTGTTTCTCATTTCCTCCTAATTGTTCCCACACCTGCTGTACAGCCATGAAGTTGTCCCTGATGACTTTGATCACTGTTAGATTAATGTGCTTTCATCCAAATTAGCTACGTGACTAAATCTGTAAATGCGTCCRTTAATTAAAATATGGCTTCAGTTTATAGTCGTTTGCACAATTTCCAAGTCCTGCTGCTGATAATTTGATGCTAATGTGCTAAAAGATTATTTATTTATAGAAGTACTAAAGAACAACTTGACAAGTTGCTCAACATTCCTCATTTTAAAGCAGTAACTGCATGCTTTCTCATGTAAAGGCTACGTTACTTTTTTCTCGTAATATTATGACTTTAGTGTTGTAATATTATGACTTTATTCTCGTAATTTAAAAAATAATCTTGTGTGGCCCTAATAATCTGTCATACTTTAGTCACCCTGTGATTCAATATTTTTTAAACTAACTCCAAAGTTGCTGTTCTGTGCCATATTAAATATTCCCTTTTGATAAATCTGTTGATTAATTCTACGGTCGCTCAAGCTGACATCTGACTCGATCATATCAAACACACACACACAAAGGTTTGTTTTTATATCCCCATGGGGTCCGTGCATTGACTTTTTCTGGAAAATGGTTCCCGTGATGTAGCAAAAACGTGCCCAAGCACACAAAAACCAACAAAATCAACTGATTTTTAGCGATCCTGTGTTTAATATTTTTTAAACTAACTCCAAAGTTGCTGTTTCGTGTCGTCTTTAATATTCCCTTGGTAATAAATCTGCTTGTTGGTTACATCGTAGGGTCGCTCACTGATSTCATCAGCTCATTATCATTTTCTGAGGGTTGTGGGTCTGCCGGGCTCAGTCCCGGCTCTGATACTACCTCTGCTCGTGGCTCATTTTACTCGCCTTACCAACTCCTTGTTTCTTCTGAATGCTCRGAGGAGGACCGAACACGCATCAGTCCCGGACTGAGCTGTCTTATGAATGAGGCCAGTGTGTGGTCAGAGGTTTATTTATGTGGAAAAGTGCTTGGACAACAATTGTGTTGCTTCAACTACTCAGCTTCCAGAAGGTGGCTGWTGTGTGTGTGTGTAAGCAACATGGATAGTTTTGAGGAGCAGTTGGCCAAGGCAGTCAGACAGTATGTCCATTAGCTGTGGCTCAGACATCATATGTCACAACGCACTGCCTACTCATGACGCTCAGCTGTACATCTGCAGTGTATCAGCAGTACATCACTACCATTGAAAATTGAAAAGCTCATTGAAGCTAACAACTCTTCAAGGTTTGGTTCCCTTCATAAAGCCTTTTGTTCCATCTGTAGACCAAACAGCAGGTGCAGGAATGGAGCGGAGCAGGAGGGGTTTCCCAGGGGCTCTGCCTCTTATACAATGAAAGTTTTGTACATCCTGATACCACACGACAGTGAGCTGACTGTTCAGCTTCAAATGTAGCACGAAACAACTTTCAGTTTCTATGCAGAACAGTTTACTAATCTAAATGTGTGCATAAAGTCAGTGGAGCTCTGAAGACCATTCAGATCAGGAATAGAGAACGTTTTGTTGTTTTGTCATTGGTTCGTTCAAAGTAAAGCTGTTTTCTACTCACAGTAAATGGGAAAAGGTTTCAGGTCGACGTCTTTATTGGTCCGATTGTATGTGGATATGCAGGTGAAAACAGCATCAGAGTCTTCTTTAGCAGCTGCATACTGAAGGGTGGAGGTGGTGGTGGACAGGCCTGTGGCTGGATTCAGCTTAAAACTGCTGCTGATCACAACAGCTACATGAAAACAAACACACAAACACACACACAGTTAGATGGGTTCAACTGAAAGAGCATTTTTTAAGGTTACATGCAAAATGTCAATTGGGGAAGWATGTGGTGTTGGTGGGAGGGGTTTAATTAGCATTGTTGCAAGGATCATATATGTTAGACTGTTATGTTTAACTCCCAATGGGGTCATTTCTGCYTGATAAGTAAGAAGCTGGGTGAGAAGGAGACAACTGTTGTCAGTCAACAACGATCTGGGGCTTCATGCAAAACCTCACCTCGCGGGGTATCCTTGATCATGAGGAAGGTGAGATCAGCCTAAAACTACACGGGGGAACTTGTTAATGATCTCAAGGCAGCCGGGACCACAGTCACCAAGAAAACCATTGGTAACACATGACGCTGTGATGGTTAGGGTTAGGTTTGGTGAGAATTTCCTCAGAGGGTCCCACCTGCCACAAGTGCACACTCACTCGAGATCAGGGCCAGTCCTGGGCCACTGGGTTCCTAGCTTTATGGGAAGTGCGTGGTGTAGACCAGTGTTTCCCAAAGTTGGGGTTGGGACCCAAAGTGGGGTCCCGAAACATCAAGGTGGGGTCCTGAAAAGATTTTCCGAATAAATTACATTTTTGCCTTAGTTGTAACAAAAGAGTGAGGTTAGTGTATTTAAAATGGACAAATGTAGTATAAAAATATTGGTACTCTGCCCGTGTTTTGTTGACCTGATTTTTGGGGGAACAGGTCTCTGCTACTGTTATTTTGTGGGTCAAAAGCTGAAAAGTTTGGGAACCACTGCACTTTGGTTCCCAAAGTTGGGCTTGGGTAAATTATGGGTCATAAAGCACCTTGGACAATCTCCAGAAATCAATTTAAAGGGTAATAAAACAATTGCTGATGTAATAT